ATACTTATAATATATATATATATATATATATATATATATATTATTTTGAAACTGTGTTAAAAAAAAAAGTTAAGTGTATTTATTATATTTTTAGAATACTTATAATCTTTTGGAAATCAATTGTAAATGTCCTATTTTCTTGGTTTTTACTCAAGAATGACAGTACCTAAATGAAAAAAATTGTACCTAATCAACTGGTTCAGGATGATTTTGATTAGTGCTAAGAAAAATATACAAGGTTTCGTAAAAAAATTGCACCTATTCAATTGACAAAGGATGTTTTTGATTAATTCAGGATGACACTCCAGTGATAATAAGGATCACGGATCAGTAATCTAAAACTGACATGATAAATAAATATAAGAATTATCTAGAAAAAGATAAAAAGTGACTCTTATGAGCTTAACATTTAAATCAGTAAATCACTTAATTTTTCTAATTATAACTTGAGCATTATATTATATATAATATTACAGTTTAAGTTAATTGCTTTTTAAAATTCGTTATTTAATGTTAATATAGTTTAAAATTAATAAATAATAAATTTACTTAATAAAAATAAGTTTTTAGTAAATTAATTATTTAGTATATTTTTTATACAATAAGTATAATTATAAAAACAATATAATGTTTGATAACAAGGTATGACAGGGAGCTTATTAGAGCTAAATTGTATAAAACCAGGGGAGTTATTAGGATAGAAAGGTATGAGAGGGGAGGACTAATTTTCATTCCCAAATGCAAGAACTATATTATAATGTTGTAAAAATGAGTAACTAATGATTTGAAGGTTACATAATAATATCTCATTTTATTCTTTCTATATTAAAAAAGAATACTCTGAATATTATATCTCAAACATGTAACTCAAACATGTAAATATAAAAATAAAATTGACTAGTGCACTTTAACTAATAGATTGTCAAATGAAGTCCTTTCTTTAGCGCTAAATTAAATGACCACTTTCACTGGGTGTAACCTTATTAGAGTTTTAAATAATTGGTGGACAGAATAGTAATGTCAACAAGTATAGTCTGAGTCTGGGATAGGATTGTAGGAAGCACTGATGCCAACTCTTCAATCTCATCTCATACCTAAAAAATTTCTCTCATGCTGCTTATAATTTTATCAAGCAGTAATATCACATGAAAGAGGTTGTATTAAACTGCTTTTTAAGTTCAACAGAGTCAGGAGACAACAGAAAACAGTAAAAATAATATGAAACAAATTTCAATTCATAAAAGAGACTAAATCAATTATGACAACAGAAAATTGCTTGGATGAGGCGTATCCTTCACTAAAATATGGAGGATAGACAAGAGTTAAGTTATCTCCAGGCTTACTGCTCCAGAGTTTTGTAGCTTTTCAAAGTGAAGTGCAGGCAAATTCCTAGGCCAACTAGATTTTTGAACTCCATTTGAACATAACCACTAGGCATATGCTATTATATTTACATTAACATATTGCCTGAAAAGACCGGTCCTTCAGGCTCCAATGCTACATAGAGGAAAGTGTTGTCCATGTATGTTAAAATATAAAATAATACTGTGCTATAGAATTTATCCGCACTTATCAAACACACAAGTTCTAAGATACAAAAGAAACATCCTAATACTTTGATTTAGGATGCAAAATTGGAAAGTCACTAAGCTGCCCAGTGAAAAGAAAATAGAGAAAGGAAGACGAGAGAAAGAGAAAGTAAAGGAGAGTGCAATGCACAATACATCTGAATGTAATTAATCACAATATTAAAATCAATTAATTTAAAAACATTGATAATTTAAAATGTAATTAAAACCACAAGATAATTAAATCTTATTAAACCTAAATTAATCCATCCTTAAAATGGTAATAAATAAAAAACAGTTTTAAGATAGGTTTTGATTTCAAATGTTAATCTCATAAATAAATTAACCTCATAAAATATCACAAGATATATATACTAAAAAGATTGGAGTTTGATTCCTAACTTGGGTATAAAATATGACTAAAGAAATCACTTTACCTTTACAAATCTCATTAAACCAAAAATATACAATAGAAGGAAATCTAAAATTCAAAATACATTTTGATGTTAGTTCTCTTCATCAGAATCGAAAGACTGTCTTTTCATTACAGATTGTATGACATCCACACGCTTAACATGCTTGGAATTGCCCGTACCAGTACAAGACTTGACTTTAGGAACATTCAGAGAGCCAAGTGTTGGTGTACCCGTCCCCTTGTTTATTTCCCTAAGCACAGAACGAGCTGTCGCTGCAGCTGCTGCATCTGCCATTGCTGAAGCAACTCTTGAATCACTTGGAAGCTTGTTATTGTTCTTACTTTGTCCAACTGTTTGTCCTTGTGTCTTGGTCAGGTTCTTAGAAACATCAGGTGATTGATTTGAACCTGATTTTGGCTTGGTGCCCTCAGCCTCAGCAACTGTAGCTTTGGCTTTAGCTGCCTCATACTTTTGAATATCATAAATAAGCTCTTTCTGCAGTTGCTTATCAGCAACCAATATGTCATCAATCTCATTCTTGTAGTCCTTTAGAATGACGCGGAGGCACTCCATGAGAGAACCTATGAGGGGACTATTCTTGGTTTCCAATAGACGTTTCAACTCGATGAAGATGGGGACTGTATTTTGGATAAGGCCCTTCTTGACAGCCTGAGTTATAGCCTTTCCTCTAGCTGCAGATCCATTTTCTCCCCCTTCTTCCTCAACATCTGCTGAATCAGATGATGCACGAGTGGATGGGATGCGTATCTCTTTACAGCCCAGAATTTGAAAAGCATCCTGATCCCACAACTAATGTTATATTTTGAACATAAATTCCACACGAAATAAGACAAAAGTAAAAGCATTGCTGTCTCATTTCATATTGCAATATGTTTGCATTACCAATTGCAAACATATATATGCTGTGAAGTAATGACAACATGGTGACCATGGATGGTTCAGATTAATACCTGAAGAACAGACTGTCCAGTTGCATCTTCTATATTTAGCAAACCATCAGAAGCTGCAGCTAGAATTTCCGCACATAACTTGGCAAAGGTTGCTAGAAGATGCTCTGGAGCCATTTGTTTTAGTAAAGAAATATAAATGTGCATTCTTTTAGACCTTGACTTTTCATCAGTACCCCTGCAAAGAACAACACAGAATTGGTATCTGCACGATATCTCAAATGAATAACCTTAGCAATTGCTAATTTGGGATCCCGTTACCTGACAGAAAAAAGTTGCCTTTCCGTTTGTGACCCCTGGGACTCACGATGTCCATTATGGACATGACAGTTATTCAGAACAAAAACAGCCTCAACAAAACTATTATATGCTAAAAGGGGGGACTTGACTGGTGTCAAAAGCACAATAGTTAGTTAAAAGTCCAATGACAAAAACATTAAATTGATATAACTGCAAGGTTTAGCTTCTGACCTTTCAAAATATTTCCAAAGAGAAAATCTGCAAGCTGCCTAATCTTTTCTGATTCGTCAACAAGTGACAAAAGGAACCGTAGAAATAGCACTCCTCTCCATTTCACGTAGTCCCTCTACAATAAATAACATTTTATTTTAGCAAATGATATCCCCCTTCCCCTTTTAAAAGAGATAGATGAAAATAAGCTGTAAAACAGAATCAGTTGATTTAGAAGCAATGAAAAAAAAGTACCTGCAACAATCTGGATAGCAATATGAAAGTTTGCCTTCTCACAAGTTCACAAGGATCTAACAGACACCTTGTGATCTTCGCAATGTAACTGATAACTTCCAGGAAAATTAAGTTAGGATAGCACAGATATTTACTTGACGTTGTTCAATTATATGTTTTGCATATTGTAAAGATAGGACTCCCTTCCACAGCACAGAACAAAAACTAGACCTCCATTTCTATTTATATTTAGATTAAATTACCCTTTTAGTCCTTATAGCTTCATGAACCTTACCTTTTTGTTTCTATAATTAAAAATATTTCAATCTAGTCCTAATACATACAGTTTATATTTCTTTTTCTTTATATTTTCATAAACTTTATCTTTTAGTTCCAATAGAAATAAAAAGGAACAAACAGGATTCTCATTCTGTTTCACGATGACTACGTTTTAAAGTTTCTACACAAAGATTAAGGATAATAACAAATGTATCACTTTTCGTATGATTAACTAAAATAGTCCACCCTCTTAATAAATGTATTATTTTTTATTGTGGTAGTTTAATAACTTATGAAAGGGAAAATTAAAAAAATAATAATTTAATATTACATTGAAAAGTGAGGACATTATTCATTTTGGGACATTTATCAAATGTTAAAACTATAGTCATTGTTAGACGAAGGGAGTATGTATAAGGACTAAAATGGAATATTTGTTTTTGTTTCCCTTTAGTCCCAATAGAAACATATGACAAAGACTAAAAAGGAACAAAAATAATATGTATAGGGATTAAAATATAAAATTTTAAACTATAAGGTCTAAAAGGTAAGTTTATGAAACTATAGAGACTAAAAAATAAAGTTTACAAAAATATAGGGACTCAAAGGATAATTAAATCTTATAGTTATATTGTATAAATACAATCTGCTACCATGGTACATGTCTTCCTTACAATAATATATCTCTTCAAATTCAAATAAACTTAAATGAAGTAATAACAAGGCTTACCAGTCAACAAGAGCAGTGTAGCGGACACAAAAATCTGCCATCATGACCACAATGTTATTGCGAAGAGCTGCGGATTCGCTCTTTTCAAGCTCCTGTATATGTATTTTGAAACAGAATATATTTTGATTAGGAACTGAGGAAACATGTAACAGCCCATGAGGAATATCATAAACAGTCAAAGTCTCAGGTCCAACCTGTACAAACAGAGGAATATAATTCTTAGCTAGCTTCCCATCAGCTAGGCAAAGCTTGCCCATGGCAAGCCACCCTTGAATATAAAAAGAAGGAGCTTCCTGTTGCAAAGAAGTTGCAGGGCCAGGTAGTTTATTTAATTTGGGACCAGAACTCCCAGAAGTGATGATAGTATGCAATAGAGGAACTATATTGCTCATATCAGCAGATGGGCAAACAATAACTAAAGTCCCGACAGTATAAATCGCTGTAACTGCTTTAGACAATGACTTGGACATTGCTGCCGATTTCTTGCCTTTCCTAGTCCCACTTCTAGGAGGAGTGAAGAAGCTACCTTGTGCATTTTGCTCTGAATTCTCTGAAATGAACTTTTCTATTATATCAGAAGCCCTGGAGAGAACTTGTTGGACCCATTTCAAGACTAATGCTTCTGCCTGTTCGAGATTTGAAGCTTTCCGCTTGCACAATGTTTTTAGTGCTTTTAAATGAGCGTCAACCTATCAAACAATAGTAACAATTCAATATGGTATATTTTTCAAGTCTATGTATAATGTTCTCAGCCATTGTCAATCAGTTCTACACTTCTACCTCTATACTTCCCAGTTTAACTTGTCCATTATGATTTCTGTCCAGATTTATTAACTTTATAACTGGCTACCATTTTTCTATGAAGACAAATTGTTACGTTAACTATTATAACGTATCTAGTATGATAACACTGATATATAAGTATAGACAGCTTGGCTAATTGCTTAAGAAACTAAGATGATCATCGAACTAATATTTGTTTATTGAATAATGCTGTATAAAGAGTGTCCAGTTTTCTTCATTGTGGGGGCAGTAGCGTAAACAAGATAAATGCTCAAGATTCAGATGGAAAAGAACTAAGAGAGACTCTTATATAACTTAAAAGACCACACAGAAGTTTAATTTAAGGCAACCTTCAGTCGATTCCAGTCCACAAGAAATTGGCATCATTTTGATACCAAAATATTTGATCTAGATGAGTTAAGAAATTACAATACGTAATGGAAAAGATGATAGTCAAGAAAAAGAAGCATCCCAGAAAATGCATTATGAAATATGAAATTCTAAACCTGGTGAACAAATAAAGTCATGTTTAACAATGATGGAATATCACACATTCATACCATCCAGATAGACTGAAGAATGCTAACAGAAGTAATAGTCGTAGGAGCCAGTAAGGAATTTGATCAACAATACCGTGCAGTGATTACCTCGGTCGAATGCATGTTGAATTGTTCTACCCGTTTGAGCAAGTTATGAGCCAAATCAGCTGCAGGTTCAGGGGGCAGCTCAACAGAAACATTAGAAATCGTTTGCAAGAGGAAAACTCGGTCACTTGCCCAGGCAACAGAATTGCATTCAATGCTTTCTTCCTCTGCAAAGGCATTCTTTTGTACAAATGGGCTTTTGAACTCACCCTCCACTTCATGTTTGTCAAGAAGCTGCCAATGATGATGAAGAAACTCCCAGTCTATAGCTTTTGAAAGGAATGTTGACACCTCTGACAAAAGAAACCAAGCACCTGGTGGAGCAGTCCACTTTTCTATAGGCATGGAGTGTCTCAGCCAGATAGACTCCGATGCCCCGATTATATTTTGAAGTGCACTAACAATTTTGTGATTCATCCGCTTCTTTTTGCCCAAATTTGTGCAAATTTTCTTCACCCAAGGGCTCACCTCTCCATTGCAAATTTCTCTCAGAAGATACAAAATTCCGTTAGGAAAAAGCATCTCCATCTCATTGTCTATACCTTTTCCTTTCATCTTTCTATTAGAGGAAAATTCACTATATGAAGAGGTAGCAGATGCAGCTATAGATATCCGGTCCAAAACAAGTTCTTGAAACATGTTCTCACATTCTTCTTGGATGCTTGATTCATTGTCAATTATTAGACGTGGAACCGAATGTAGCCACTCAGTTATTACTGTTTCAGAAGAAAATGTTCTGAAAGCCTGCATTTAGTTATAGATTTCATAAATTACTTATCTGTTATTACTTATTCGTAAAAAGGAACCAAGAAAAAGAGAAGACATTTTAGGGAACCAATGAGATTCGTAACTTATGTTTGGAAAGATCATAGAAATAGAGTATATTTGGATAAAAGTTTACAAAGGCTTTTAAGAATTTCTTTATTTGAAAATACTCTTTATCTACGATATAGAAGTTCTAAGAAGATCTTCTAGATTGTATAAAAAACATGCCAATAATCAAATTCTACCATCATCTCAGGCAGAACCTGATAAACACTGGGCAAGCTAATCAAATATCAAAAGAATGCCAAACAAAGTATCGTTTTAAAGCAACATTGCACTATTTAACATAAAGTACTTCATACAGAAAAATATAGTCTGAGTATTTATTTAATCATATGGAACAAAATTTTCACAACAAATTGATATTACGTTGTGCTCTCTATATGGATTCCATCTATGTTATTGTTTCACCTAAAATATAACTATATTTTTGCATAAGCAAAAGTGTAACTCAATAGTATCTTGCAACCCGAAGGCAGAAACAGCTAATAACATTTGGTATTATTAGGTTGGAGTGGAGGAAAGACGAAGGGAAATGGAGGGGAGCAAACTCCTCCTCGTCTAATTTTGTCATCCCTCCAATATTGGGAGATTTGAAGAGGAGGAAAAGGAATTTAAAACATTTTGTGTATAATGTCTACAATATCCTTACTTATATTTTGAATTCAAAATTATAAAGGTAAGTAGTTAAATTAGTTTTAAAAATCTCTACTCTCATCTTATGAACCAAACAAGAAAAGGGTTATCCCTCCTTCCCTTCATTAAATTCTCTTCCCTTTCTGCATCTTAACTAAACAGAATTTCTAACCCCTTACATCCCCTCCTCTAAACAAAAGAATCCTAAGTAGAGAACACTACATATAAAAGCTGCCCAACAGAAGGGCAATGTGCTGAAGAAAAATTCCTGCATTGTAATCTTTCTATTCAAATCTATTTCCAGGAAAGCTAGATGTCAACAACACAATAAACCTAAATAAACCCTACAGTTCACTTGACAAAAGATTCTCCTGTAACTACTCATGCAAAACAAAACCTTCACCTCGTCATCACTTCTTAAATATGAATGTTAAGTCACTAAGTTTCACATTTCTGTCTCATACAGCAAAATAGTTATAAGTTAAAAGTTGTGGAAACCAAAATCAGATATTTCTCTTTATCTAATGTTATATATTATAGATAAGAAGTAAATAAACTACCTCTGATAGAGCTGCAATTGCCGCTTTCCGCATGCTGATGAGTGGATCAGAACAAGCGAGGCCCATAGTCTTGAGCACCACTTCATCAATCGCCCCTCCAAGAAGAGAAGTCAAGTTAGTAACCAGAAGCAATGCGGCTTTCCTTACAGCAGCCTTATCATCCATACACCTCTTCCTCAGCATATCATTCATCCCACCTTCAACATTCCCATCACCACCCTTTCCAAACCCCATAAACTCCCTCAAAACCACACTAGTCCTCTCACCACGACCAAGGAACCCCACAAGCTGCGCCAAAGTCGACAAAGCCCGCGCCCTAATCGCACCACTCACATCCGAACACCGCTTCACCAACGCCTCCAAGCACCACACTCCCCACACCTCACTCAAACCACTCTCCGAATCCAACGATTCCACGCCCAACGGATTCTTCAACGACATCACCAAATTCAAAATCAAATCAACCGCCAAAAGCCGAAGACTCGACTTCCCCTGAGCCATCTGCACCACGTACTTCACGAACGCGATTTGCTCCTCATCCTCCACCACTCTAACAACCTCCATGATGGAGTCCACCGCCAAAGCTCTCGGCTCGGCCTTCTCCGGCGCCTTCACCGCCAAATACCGCGGAAAATTAACCAGCGCCTTCTTCACCCCGTCGCGCTTGCCACCAAGGCTGGTAACGAACCCAAGAGCGAAGGTCCTCGCCTGCGACTTCGCCATGAGAACGAGCGAACACAGAGACTTCAGCACCTCCGCGGCAGTGTCGGAAGGCTCACCGTGCTCCGGTTCGAGAACCGCGTTCAGAACGCGCGAGCAGAGTCCAAGCAGGTTGCTATACTGCGCCGCGCTCCCGCACGTGTCTTGCGCCGTCACGGGGATTTCCGCCACGGTTTGGATCAACGACTTGAGAGTCTCGGGGAAGCGATCGAGGTGGATTAGGTCCATGACGCGAACCAGCTTCTCCAGCACGCGAAGGAGGAGCCCAGGGTCGTGCTGTTGGGGGCCCGCGTCGGGCGAATCGTCGTCGTTTTGGGGATTCCTGGCGCGGGGCCGGCCCGCGCGCTTTCGTTTGCGGGGCTGGGGGGCGTGTTGGGCCGGGCCGGAGTGGGAGTGGGCCTTGCAGGAGCGACGCAGGGAGCGGAGGAAGGAGAGGAAGGAGATTGGGGTGAAGAGGGTGAAAACGGGGGCGTTTGGGGAGAGGAGGAGGGAGAGGAAGACGTCGGAAGCGAGGAGAGAGTGGTGCGGTGGGGAAGAGTCCATGGCGGAAGCGATGGGAGGGTTGAGAGAGGAGGGAGAGAGGTTTTTCGATGAGAGTTCATCGTATAGGGACTCCGAGAGAGAGTGCCGGAGGAGAAGTTGAAGATCCGTTAGGATTTGTTCGGAGAGAGGTGGTGGTTGAGGGTTTCCACGGTGCTCCTCTAACTCAGAGACTACGCGCGATACTGTTTCCTCCATTTCCATTCTCCTTCCTCTCACACCACACACACTACACACACTACACACACACTCGCGTTACTCTATTGAAATTTCAAATTCCCGCTCAGGAGGAATTTTCATTATTGGGCCTTTTTTATGGGCCGAAATGAAGCCCAATGGAGTTAAGTGAAATGGGTTTTTTAGTGGAGGAAACTAGAAACCCTGGGCTATAAATAGGAGATGCACGCTGTTCTGCTGACCCTCTTCACTCTCGCGTCGCTCCGTACCTTTTTCACTGCAAAAACCCTCATATTCGGAGCGATCGGAGAGGAACGCTGCAAACATGTTGGTTTACCAGGATCTCCTTACAGGTAAGCTCAGCTGTTCTTTCATCGTGTTTTTAATTGCTTTTTCGATCTGTTGCTATCGCTTTTGATTTCGATGTTTTTATTAGATCTGTTTGCATTGTGGAATATTGAGCTATTGTCGATGTTTGGATCTGGCTCTTTTTTATTCGATTTTAATTGATTTATGGCCGACTTGTGTGTGTTGCAGGTGTATCTGATTTGTTTTTTTTTTTTCTGGTTGATTATAGTTAGGTTATTGATTTTACTTGTTTTGATTGATTGGTTGATTTGATTAACACGAAACGTTCTGATTTGGTGGAATTGGTGGGATCCTTTTAATTCCCTCGACGATAGTGAGTATCGAGTTTGTATGGTTTCTGGTTGTTTTGAATTGTGTGACTTTTGAGGGCTTATTTGGAACTAGGTTAATTGCTGCTTTACGTTCTTGTGTGCGATTTATAAAATGCTCTCTATGATGGAGTTTTGTTTTGTGCTATTCTTTGGTTTTTTTTTATATATGTTTTTTGTCCCTTCACTGTTTTATCTTTTTATTTTAATATATTGGGATTTTTTTTTGTGAAGTGTGTTGAGTGTTGAGTGCATGGAGTGGCACTGACCATAATTGCTGCCTTGTATAGGTGACGAGCTTCTCTCTGACTCCTTCCGTTACAATGAGATTGAGAATGGAATATTGTGGGAAGTTGAGGGAAAGGTTAGTTGAAAATGGTGAATTTATTTAAATTTTTGTTTGTTTGTGATTAATGGAATATCCCTAGCACCACTACTTAGTTATCTATAAGGCTTTTTTTTTTAAATCATTTTTTTTTAAGTTGTTTGGTTACGCATGGCTGACAAGCTAGAACTATTTCTTTTGTGTGTGCAGTGGGTTGTTAAAGGAGCAGTTGATGTAGACATTGGAGCCAACCCATCGGCTGAAGGTGGGGAAGATGAGGGTGTTGATGACCAGTCTGTGAAGGTTGTTGACATTGTTGATACATTCAGACTTCAGGTTTGGACAACTTTACGCCTCTTTATATCCTTGGTGTGCTCATTATTTAATTATTTTGTCTTAAATCTAGTTCAGATGATAATTACATAGCTACTTAATTTCTGTAGGAGCAACCTGCTTTCGATAAGAAGCAGTTTATTACCTTCATGAAGAGGTTTATCAAGAATTTGACCCCCAAGCTTGAAGGAGAGCAACAGGAGTTGTTTAAGAAGAACATTGAGGCAGCAACCAAATTCTTGCTCTCTAAGATTAAGGATCTTCAATTGTAAGTGCCACTTTTATTACACATGATTGTTGCATTGTTTTCGGGGCTTCTTGTGTCATACGCTGGTAAAATTTGTTGTTGGTGCTTAAGAATATAAATACCCATTGAATTGAGTTCTTTATGTGCAGTTTTGTTGGTGAGAGCATGCATGATGATGGTTGCTTGGTCTTTGCCTACTACAAGGACGGTGCTGCTGATCCAACATTTCTGTACTTTGCACATGCCTTAAAGGAGGTTAAGTGCTGAGTGACGTGGTGTACTGAGCTATCTATCAGTTTTTCTAGTTTTAATTTTATGTTCTGTGCTCAAGAAGTTACTTGAAACTTTGACTTGGTATTTTGATTTAATGGCGAGATGTTTTGTGCTTCATAATTCCCATCTAATTTAATCATCGATGGGTTAGAATTTCATTAATTTATGATTTTCTCGTGCTAGAAGGGCTTCCCAGTTGTTTCATTTGTTGACTTTTTGGGTTTGTGTACTAAAGATATTTTTATTTGTCTTGGTGCCCTTATCGATAAGAGTTATACGACTTGGGATTTGGGAATTTAATGAGATCAGAATTTTTAATTGAATTTCAGACCTTTTCCAATTTGCTGATGGGTTCGACAATATAACGTAATTATAGGTTTTTTTTATAAAAAAAAGCAAAATCACCTTCGTGCCGACACGTGTTCATTGCCTCGGACAATCTATACATGTTAGATTATTGTTTATTGTTTTAATTTCGTACTTTTAAATTGCTTTTAATTTATGTTTGAATGTTAATACACATCTTTTTTAATATTAGGTTTTTATTTAAATTTGAGATAAAACAATTTATTTCTTATACTTTAAAAATATATACTGATATTTTTTTAAAAAAAAGTTGATTAACTCGAACTAAATCAAAAATTGTTATGAGATTAGTTTAATTTGGATTGATTTCTTTTTGCTAAATTATATGTAAATTAAATTAACTAAAATTTATTAGTTCAAATTTTAGATTATTTTTAATTTGAATCAAACTAGTCTATGAACACTATCAATTCATTGTATGGTTTTTAACAAGGTTACTATTATAATAAGCTTATAAATCTTTCAACACGCCATTAATCCAATTAGTACCGCGTTATTATCATATGGTATTAATAATTTTTTTTTTATTTTGGTGGGGGCGGAACTTGGTGATTTAATAAATGATGTAGACTCCCTTTTCTTTCCTAAATTGGCTAAAGTTGTTTTTTTTCCACTTTATGATGTGTAATTATTTTTATTAGTACGATGCTTAATGATGGCATTTCTCGAGTAGATAATATTTTTAATGGAAGTTACCATACTCTTTCCAATTAATGTTTTCTGGTGAACTATTCTAAAAAGATTTATTATTAATTTAGCACTAGCCAATGTTTTATTTTATTTGTAGGCTTTTTACCTTATGATTAAATGAGAGGAGTGAAGGGATACGAAAGGAGTTTTCTTGTTCGATTTGATCGTAATGGAAAGGGGAGCTGGGAAAGGAAGGAAAGGATCTCTTTGTTTTTTAATTTTTGGGCAAGAATCGAATATTTGTTGATCTATAATCTTTGTCTATTTGATGATTCATCTTTACTTAGATATTGTCTTAATTGGTAAAGATATTATCTTAATTGGTCACCTTTAGTGAGATGTTTGCAATCGTTCACATCAGTAAAGCAACATTTTTAAGTTGAACCATATTATTTTATATAAAAAAATAAAAAGAAGGATGATTCGTCATTCGATTCATGCCAGAAACATGAACAAAATTGGGGATTTAACAATTAAAACAATAAGAAAAAAAAGCCTAGAGCTAGAATTAGTCACCTTTTTAAGTGTAAGTTTTTGCTCTTGAGTTTTGACCATCTAAAAGCCTAGTAGACCTAGAATGTCCCATAAGAACATAAGTGGGCTCCGACCTCAAGGCTCACCCAAAAACTTGAGTGAAGCAATAGATGGATTTAGGGTCAACTTGTTGGGTGAAAAAAAGATGATAGATAAAGAAATGGAGAGGAATTGCGAGAAAACGAGATAAAATAAGGGGAAAAAATTAATTAAAACAAAATCCAGCCATCAAATTAAAAATAAATATATCTAAAGGTGCAGATTCACTGTTCCACCATAGGAGATATGATTACTCTTCCATCGTAGTCGGTGTCATTTTTTAGGGCTTCTTTATTTAGTTAACAAGGGATGGGAGTAAAATTATTGTTATCATATTGTTATATCCTTTGTTTAAATGAAGTTAAAATGAAAGTTGAGATTGTAATTTGAATTAAAGGAAAACTTTTGAAATTTTATCACTCAAGATTAATATTTTCTTTTTTTAACAAAATAAAAAAATTTATTATTTATATTTTTCTCTTTAACTAGTAGAAGAAGGATAAATAATATTTATAATGAATTTTTTAACGCATCATAAAAGTTATAATCATTTTTTTTCTTCCAAAACTTCTCAAGTGGAATCAAGTTATTTATCGAGTTTAACTTTTATAAATCAAATTCAATAGGCTTATTGTTGATTCAATTTTACAATATATAGAGATACATAGTGTGTATTTTACAATGACCCAAGATAATTGATATGTAAATGAACAACAACGATGCAAGATTTTATAAAATCATATACATCCTTTCAACACGCCATTAGTATATGAAGATTTTTACTTATGGATCAATAATGTTATCTATATATTCCGAAACCACACTGCACTCCCACAGTGATATGCATGTAAAATATATAATATAAGATTTTACTAAAGCAAATAATTTATAGGCTGAGACTATAAATAATTTTGACACAATTATTCAATTACTAATTGTCAAAAAATAAATTTAGTACCAAACATTATATCGATAATAATTTCTAATTGATTGGCCCGTATATTTTTTTTGTTATTATTTGTGGTTACTATACCCACATTCAAACTCAATCAAATCATAGGTAATTCAAATTCATATTCTTTTGTTGATAGCATCTAAAAGTAGTAAAAATACACACACACATATAAAGTAAAAGAATAGGAGATATTTTGCTGTCTTGTACTCAAATTAACTAATTTTATTAAGTAGCTTTTTTGGTGGATTCATTAACGTGGTACAAAATGTGGTTTGAAACAAAAGCAAGAGAAAGGAGCGTGTGGCATGTCACCAACTTCTTCTATAGTCGAAAATTGCGGTGTTGGGTGTTGGATGTACATTTAGAAAGGATAGGACAGCTAAATGAAAATAGTGATGGCTCCATCTTTAATTCAAATTTGTGTTCCTACTTCATCCTTCCATCTTTAACCTCTCATGCTTTAAGCAAAAGCAAACACCTTTTCATAACACAATAAGTGAGCTACAAGCTATGCCAACAAGTTTTCCATAATTCAAGAGGATGCCCTTTTTCTTTAAATATAAAAACAAGAAAATGAAATGGTTGTCACCCTTTGAAACTCATGAGACCATAATCATCATGTAACCAAAATCATGTCGTGAGATATTTGATTTTAGTCAAAGGTATATCTCAATAAAATAATTTTATGTTGCAATTTAATCATAAATGACTACATACAATAATTTTGTTGATTTTTATAATAATTATTTTAAAAGTCGAAACATTAATAATTTTATACTAGTTGATAATATAAAAAGTTTTATACAGATAATACATGACTATAAAATTGATTTGATTTTGAGAAATATTAACGATGTTTTTTAACATTTTTTATTTATTATTTTGTTGAAATCATAAATTTTTAGTAAGTCTTACATAGGGATGGTAACGAGGTGGGTCGGGTATGGGTTTTATGATACTCGTCCCGTCCTTACGACTCAAACTCATCCATGTACCTGTACCCGTCGAGTATATAATTTTCATCTCCATCTCTATCCCCGTCAAGTATCAGATATATACGTACCCGTACTCGTCAAAAATTATTTTTATTATTATTTTGCAAAAAAAATAAATATTTTTAAATTATTTTTTTTAATATATTACAATTATAATTAGGTTATTTATCTATTTCTTAATAATTAAATAATTATAAATATTTCACATTATAATAAATAATTACACATAATATAGTATTAAGATTTTTTAACACAATTAAATTGGAGGTGGAAATTAAACCGGAGATAAGAATAAGTATGAGGACGGGTACAGGATGGGTAAGTATATATACATACTCGTACCCGGTTTAATATATCAAGTTTTATCCGTACCCGGTCAAACTGGGTATTCCTGTCAAAATCGGGACGGGTTTGGATATTATCCATAGTTACAGATTTATAAAAACAAACAAATAAATAAAACTCAGATTGTCATTTTATGCAAAAAAGAGATATAACACGTGCGTCATCGAATAAAACTTTCATGGGTATTTTATATGGATTTCTTACCTACACCTTTTGAGGATGAATGAGTAAGAAAATTATCTGTCTTAATGATAATACAGCATGACCACCCACCAAAAAAATAGAGCATTAATTACATTTATTAGCAACGTACTGTTGTCATCGTCATTTGTGGTACACTATGAATGCATGGGTAATTATCGTATTTTGAAATGCTTTTAAGGGTATTTTCCCATCCTGCAAGTGGTTAAAATGTCCCATTGGGTAACACCAACCTGTACAATTATTCATAAATGCTTGCAACTCATTTCGGGTAAAAATCTTGGTTCTGCATTTCAATTATGCAGCCTTGGCTTTTGTTGCATAACCACATTGTTGTGTTGAGGACCCTTCAAGTGTTGTATTAAACTTTATATGTAAATGGGTTGTATTCCTTATTAATGGATTCTTGTGGAAGAGTTCCATCTTTAGAATTATCTCTGTGGATTAGTTTTTTTTTATTTAAGGTTTAGTGTTTAGAGTTTAAGATGTATTTTAATTTTTTAAATAATTTTTAATATTTTGATGAATTAATTTTTAACTTTCAACATGATCATAGATTCATCCAAAGGTTTAGAACTTACTAAACATTAAAGAAAACATTATTGCTCTATTAGTCTCATTTTAATTGTTATTTTTAAAATATTTTTTCAAATTATTTATTTTATAAAATATTAAAAAATTAATACTTCTATCAAAAAGTAAATGTACTAGTATATCTACATCATTATTTACACCATTATATAAAGGAGATGTTTCTTTTGGTAATTATTTTTTGTTTTTATATTTTATTGGACTATTATACTTCTTGCTCAATGAAAAAAAAATTGAAAAACTACAAAATAATATTATTAAATTGTTAATAAAATGACAAAAATAAGATAAATTTGCTAATGAAAATGATAAGAAAAATAAGAAAATGATAATAAATATTAAATTATTATTATTATTAAAATATATTAGTGTAATATATTTTAATAGTAATAATTTAAGGTTCTTTCTATAGGTCGCCTTCACCATCTTTCACGGACTAAATTGAGTGTTTATTCTTAAAAAAAGACTAATGTCTTTTAATGAGTACCTTGAAACCATGGGGACTTCGGAATCACGATACCACCACAAAG